CCCGGTCGGGGCCCCAGATTCTGTCCCGGTTGCCCCTCTTCCAGTCCAGCTCTCTGCTGTGGCCCGGGAATGCAGTGGAGGATGGCCCAAGTCCTTGGGTCCTGCACCCGCATGGGAGACCAGGAGAAGCACCTGGCTCCTGCCATCAGATCAGCGTGGTGCGCCGGCCGCAGCGCGCCAGCTGCAGCGGCCACTGTGGGGTGAGCCAACGGCAAAAGGAAGACCTTTCTCTCTGTGTCTCTCTCTCTTACTGTCCACTCTGCCTGTCAAAAAAAAAAAATTCTTAAAGTTACTTGCCAAATAGATAATTTTTTGTTATTATCTATAAGCAATTGAATTCTTCAATTGCCATGTTGATATAACTGACAGTAATATAGTTTTTATTTTTTTTAAAGATTTATTTTGAAAGTCCAAGTTACAGAGAGAGAGGGAAAGATGGAGAGAGAGATCTTCAATCTGCTGGTTCACTCCCTAGATGGCCACAATGGCCAAGGCTGGGCCAGGCCAAAGCCAGGAGTCTCATCTGTGTCTCTGATGTGGGTGGCAAGAGCCTGAATAGTTGAGTCATCTGCTGCTGCTTTTCCCAGGCCAGGGAAGTTGGATACGAAGTGGAGGCCCCAGGACTTGAACTGGTGCCAATATGGGATGCTGGTGTTGCTGGCGGCAGCTTTTTCTGCTATGCCACAATGCCAGCCTCAGTAATATTGTTTTTAAAACATCATAAAATTGCTGGAGATGCCGCTATGATTTGTCTGCACTCTTTTTGGAATAGTCTTGGTTAACTTCTAGTTTGCTCAGTGCCAGGCATAGGTGATTCCTGGCACAGGACCTGCCTTCTAGAGAATCTTGACAGATTGAATCTTGGACAAATAGGCTGAAAAAGATACAGGCATTACTGCGAGGAAAAGCTGCCAAAAATCAAAAGCTGATAACAGAATCAGTGTCAGACAAGTAAAATCTTTTGTTTTAAATTCACATTCTTCATTGGCCATTTGACTCCTAACTGCTGACTTGAGTGATCTTTATTCCAGAAAAGTGACTGGGGTGAACACTCTGCCTCGGGTTTGGGTAGACCTAGGTTTTAATCCCAGCATTGCTGCTAATTAGCCGTGTACTCGGGGACACTACTGAACTTCTCTGAGCCTCTGTTTTATCATGTGAAATGTGGAAATAGTAATAGGACCATGTTATATGGTTGTGGTAAAGGGTGAAATGGAAGGAAGAACCCAGCTCTTGGAAATTGCTGAAATCCTTGGAGCAGTGCTGTCATACGGTAACCACTGCTGGTAATAATGTTATTTTACTGTCAAAACAGTTGAGGTGATCCCAAATCTGTCTTCTGCCCCTGACCTTCCCCTTGGCCCTGTGTTTTATTCAAGTCCTCAATGTCTCTCCTGTGAACACGTTGACTATCTTTTTAATTAGTATGCCTTTCTCTAGTCTGTTGTTTGTTGATTTTACACATTTTTGCATAGTAAATCTTCCAAAAGCTGTTCTTGAATCATAATTTCTCTTCTCAAAACCACTCAGTTATCATGTTGTGTAGATTCAAGTTTAAACTCCTTGGATGAGTAGGGATCCTAGCTGTTCTCTGTCTGTATTCGCATCGCTTGGTCTGTATTCCCACCGCTCGGTCTGTATTCCCACCTCTGGGTCTATATTCCCACTGCTCAGTCTGTATTCCCGCCTCTTGGTCTGTATTCCCGCCGCTCAGTCTGTATTCCCACCTCTGGGTCTGGATTCCCACCTCTCGGTCTGGATTCCCACCTCTCGGTCTGGATTCCCACCTCTGGGTCTGTATTCCCACCGCTCGGTCTGGATTCCCACCTCTCAGTCTGGATTCCCGCCTCTCGGTCTTTATTCCCGCCTCTGGGTCTGTGTTCCGTGTGGCTTACCGTTTTTATGCTTTCCTTAGTGCTCACTGCCAGACACCGCGTGTCCAAAGAACAGGGAGTTACGCATCTTTGTGTCCCCACAGCTTGGTGCTAAAAGATGTTCATTATAGTTAACTGATTTGAACAGTGAGTGAGTGAATGAGTATCTTTGCTTATGCATTGTCCTTTGCCTAAAATTCCTTGTGCTTTGCTTTGCGTTTTCACACCCCACTGTGCTTCAGGGTCACCTTCCCTAATCCTTCCAACTTACAGAACCTGTTCCTTCCCTGGGACTCCTTCCCTGCACCTGGCACTTTGTCCTGTAGAGCTGTTTACAGACCTGCCTTTTCCTTTCTACTGTACTACACCCTCCTCTACAATAGGCCTTGGGTTCGAGTCTTAGCCCACTTCCTGACATTCACTTAGCAATTACTAAGCACCAGTTCTGTGCTAGGCATGCAGCAGTGAGCCAAACAGGCAAAGTTCCTTGCTCTTACGGTTGACATTCTAGCAGAGCTCGGTAATGACCTGCCTCACTCATTCACTGGCCATCACTGAGGAAGTATCTGCTCTCTGCTAGCCTTTGGTGCTGATGCTAGGGTTGCAAATGCGAAGAAAAGTGCTCTTTGTCCTCAAGGAGCTCCCAGGAAGATAGCTCTATAAATGCAAGATTATGATATATTATTGTGGTTGTTTCTCAGCTGTAGGCATTGTGTGTGGGAGAATTCTTTGTTCTGTAGGCTTTTCTCCTGCATTGCCAGGCATACAGTCCCCTAGCCCCCCTCCACCAGTATGGCCCCTAAATCATGTGACCCACCCCCCAAACCACCTCTGCACATTTCCAAAGGTGTTCTACGAGAGTGGCGTCCGCCTTTCTTACATGGAGAGTCACTGTGGAGGGAGGACTTGACTTCCATTAAGGTGGCTGAAGATGAAGGAGGGAGTGAACTATGATCTTGGCCTGGGGACTAGGGGTGGGAGAGGGGAAAGGGAGTGTTCTGAAGAATGAGGCTGGCGAGGGAAGGCATCAGCAGAGGCGTGGATGGAGGCGGTCAGCAGCCCGCTGTTTGCCAGGGCCATGGCTGGGGGAGAGAGTGCAGGTGTTGTGGGCAGTGTCTGCTGAACAACCGGAGGGGAATCCTGGGCTCTGTTGTAGGGGAGTTGTGTGCCGTGCTAACAGATGAGCCCAAGAACTGGCCTAAAGGGAGGGATTATTGAGAGGTTTCAATAGGGCAGTGGCTTACTGAGGTTGGTAAGACTTGCCAGAGTTGAGGGCGAAGGCAGTGAAGTTGTGAACAGGTGGTAGTGATGAGGCTTGTGGCATCTGTCGAGAGAGCTGAATACACTCGCAGGTTAGAAATAGATTCTGTCACTACCTTGTGATGCAACTCCCCTAGAAATACAGACTTCCAGGAGATACATAAACACATAGAAATCTCAAAGGCCTGCGCATTATAAATATTTACCTTGATCCACAGGGTCATTCCCGGATCTTTCCCCTTCTTAGGAGTGCCTGTGCTCAGCTAAGGAGGCATAAACCTGTGCTGGCAGTTGGCATAGCACAGTTGCTGGAAATCCTAGTGTCTGTGAGCACAGGGGGAGGGCCGCTTGGATAGGTATGCCCTCAGGAGGATACGTAGGCCCTGAAGGATTCTGTATGGTGTGGGCAAGTTGAATGCTGACGATGCAGGAGGTCCCTCTGTGATCCTTGCCCCTGGGTCCCTAGTTATGTGCAGCTCCGAAGCCTATCCCAGCACTTCCCACCAGTGCCCTGTTTGAGTTTTGAGGTGGCTTTCTCCTCCTTGGTGGTACTGCCATTCTCAGAGCCTAGCACTGCGCCTGGCTCAGGGAAGGCCCTTAGCAGGTGGTGGTTAGTGAGCGTACTTCTATGTTGCTAATTTCACACTTCTCCAAGCATGCATGCTATCTGTTAGAGTTGCAGTAGATTTTCCTAGAACATGTATTTCTTACATTTGTATTTTCTTTCCTTTGTTTTTCAGTTGCATGGTGATGAGTTTTGTCCTGTTTTGGGTGCAACATTTGTGATGGTGGCTCGTGATTCTGAAAATAAAGGGTAATTAGTATTTTTTCATAATTCTTTATTTTGAAGAATTTCAAAGATGCATAAAACTAGAGAGAGCGCTATAATGCATGCCCCTATACCCACCATCTGGTCCTTTTATGTCTTTAAATATTTATTTATTTGAAGACAGAGAGGAAGAGAGGGAGAAAGAACATCCATCCAGTGGTTCACTGCCCAAATTGCCATAGCAGCCAGGGCTGGTCCAAGCCTGAGCTGGGATGCTGCTGTTGCAGGCTGCGGCTTAATTTGTAGCACCACAATGCTGCCCCTGTTTTTGATGACTTTTTGAGGAGCACTGGTTGGGGACTAAAATGCACTGATTGAGGAGTGCCTGCTGTGTTTCTCATGGTGACCCTGGGGTTTCGAAGGGCTTATGAGGTGGAGTACATAGGTGGCAGCTGTCCTTGTCCTTGTGACATCACAGCAGTGTGCTTTTTTTTTAAAGAATTTATTTATTTAAGAGGTAGAGTTACAGAATGTGAAAGGGAGAGACAGAGAAGTCTTCCATCTGCTGGTTCACTCCCCAAGTGGCCACAATAGCCAGAGCTGGGCAGGCCTGAAGCCAGGTGCCAGGAGCTTCTTCCAGTTCCCCGACGTGGGTGCAGGGGCCTGAACACTTGGGCCATCTTCCACTACTTTCCCAGGCCATAGCAGAGAGCTGGATCAGAAGTGCAGTAGCTGGGAGTCAAACCAGCGCCGATGTGCTATGCTGGCACTGCAGGCCGCGGCTTTACCTGCTACGCCACAGCACCAGCCCCACAGCAGTGCACTTCTATCAGCAGGACTTCCCTTGTGGATGTCATCACCTGGTCATAACAGTGTCAGGTTTTTTTTTTTTTTAAAGATTTATTTATTTATTTGCAAGTCAGAGTTACACAGAGAGGGGAGAGGGGAGAGAGAGAGAGAGAGAGGTCTTCTGTCCGATGGTTCACTCTCCAATTGGCTGCAACAGCAGAGCTGTGCCGATCCGAAGCCAGGAGCCAGAGCTTCTTCCGGGTCTCCCACATGGGTGCAGGGGCCCAAGGACCTGGGCCATCCTCCACTGCTCTCCCAGGCCATAGCAGAGAGCTGGATGGGAAGTGGAGCAGCCGGGTCTCGAACTGGCGCCCATATGGGATGCCGGCATCTCAGGCCAGGGCATTAACCCACTGCGCCACAGTGCCGGCCCCCAACAGTGTCAGTTTTAACATTGTGGTCATATTTTTGTTCATCTGTTTTTTTCCTTTTTTGTGTATCTTTATTTAAAAAAAAAGATTTATTTATTTGAAAGGCAGAGTTAGAGGGAGGCAAGGAGGGAAAGAGAGAGAGAGAGATGCTGGTTCATTGCCCAGATGGCTGCAATGGCCAGGGCTGGGACATGCTGGAGCCTAGAGCCTGGAGCTTCCTCTGGGTCTCTTACATGGGTGCAGGGACGCAAGTACTTGGGCCATCCTTCAGTGCTTTCCCAGGCACATTAGCTGAATCAGAAGTGGAGCAGCCAGGACTGGAACTGGTGCCCATATTTGATGGCGACCCTGCAGATGACAGCTTTACTTGCTATACCAAATCCTAGCCTCTCTCTTCCTGTGTATTTAAAAAAAATTTTGTCAGGTAGCAACTGCATATCTTTATTGGGTACAGTGTGATGCTTTGAGATATTTATACATTGTATATTGATCAAATCTCTTGTCTTTAAAGAAAATATATAGTATTTTAAAGTAAATCCCAAATATAATGAATTTCACTTCTATTTTAAAATTATCTGTCTGTCTAGAATTATCTCTATCTATCTATCTGTCTATCTAGAATTATCTATATCTGTCTGTCTGTCTGTCTATCTATCTATCTATCTATCTATCTATCTGTCTGTCTACCTACCTACCTGCCTACCTACCCGAAAGGCAGAGAGACAGCTATCTCCCATCCACTGGATCACTCCCCAGATGCCTGTGACACCTGAGGCTGGGCCAGGCCAAAGCCAGGTATAGCCACTTAGGTGGTAGGGACCCAAATACTTGAGCCATCATCAGCTGCCCTCCAGGGTACATGTTAGCAGAAAACTGGAATCAAAAGTGGAGCTGAAAAAAAAGTGAAGCTGAGACCTGACCCCAGGCGCTGTGATATGGGGTATGTGCATCCCAAGCAGTGTCACTTTTTAAAAAAATTTATTTATTTATTTGAAAGAGTTACACAGAGAGAGAAGGAGAGGCAGGGAGAGAGAGAGGGAGAGAGGGGTCTTCCATCTGCTGGTTTGTTCCCCAGATGACCACAATGGCCAGAGCTGGGCTGATTCAAAGCCAGGGGCCAGGAGCTTCCTCCAGGTCTCCCACGTGGTGCAGGGGTCCAAGTACTTGAGCCATCTTCCCAGGCCATAGCAAAGAGCTGGATCAGAAGTGGAGCAGCTGGGACTTGAGCTGGTAACCATATGGGATGCCGGAGCTGCGGGCAGCAGCTTTACCAGCTATGCCACAGCGCTGGCTATTAATCTTTTTTTTTTTGACAGGTAGAATTATCGACAGTGATAGAGACAGAGAGAAAAGTCTTCCTTCCGTTGGTTCACTCCCCAAATGGCTGCCACGGCCAGCACTGCGCCCATCTGAAGCCAGGAGCCAGGTGCTTTCTCCTGGTCTCCCATACGGATGCAGGGCCCAAGCACTTGGGCCATCTTCCACTGCCTTTCCAGGCCACAGGAGAGCTGGACTGGAAGATGAGCAACCGGGACTAGAACCCAGTGCCCATATGGGATGCTGGCACCACAGGTGGAGGATTAACCAAGTGAGCCACGGCACCGGCCCCTATTCTGTCTTTTTTTTTTTTTTTTTTTTTTTTTTTTTTTGTGGGAATTCAGAGTGGACAGTGAGAGAGAGACAGAGAGAAAGGTCTTCCTTTTGCTGTCGGTTCACCCTCCAATGGCCGCCACGGCTGGCGCACTGCACTGATCCGATGGCAGGAGCCAGGTACTTCTCCTGGTCTCCCATGGGGTGCAGGGCCCAAGTACTTGGGCCATCCTCCACTGCACTTCCCTGGCCACAGCAGAGAGCTGGCCTGGAAGAGGGGCAACCGGGACAGAATCCGGTGCCCCGACCGGGACTAGAACCTGGTACGCCGGCGCTGCAAGGCGGAGGATTAGCCTAGTGAGCCGCGGCGCCGGCTGCCCTATTCTGTCTTTAAGTTAACTGATTCTATTCTCTTTTATCTCAAGTCTAACACAGAGACATCTAACAAGTTTTAAATTTGGTTATTGTGTTTTTCAGTTTATAATTTTTTTAAGATTATTTATTTGAAAGGCAGAGTTACAAAGAGGCAGAGAGAAAGAGAGAGGGGGAGGGAGGAAAGAAGGGAGAGGTAGGTCTTCCATCTGCTGGTTCACTCCTCAAATGGCCGCAACAGCCGGAGCTGGGCCAATCTGAAGCCAGGAGCCAGGAGCTTCTTCTGGGTCTCCCACACAGGTGCAGGGGCCCAAGGACTTGGACCATCTTCCACTGCTTTCCCAGGCCATAGCAGAGAACTGGATTGGAAGAGGAACAGCTGGGACTTGAACTGGCGCCCATATGGGTTGCTGGCCCTGCAGGTGGCAGCTTTACCCACTATGCCACGGTGCCAGCCCCTAAGCAGTATCTTGACCTCAGTGCCAAACACCCATCCTGACATTTCACCTTCAAATACTCAGAGTTTCATATAGGCATCTTTTAAAAAATAGCTGCATTACTGCCATCATGTTTAACAAAAATAATAGTAAATCATTTACATGTTGTTATATTCGATTTTCCCCAAGTGTCTTTTTAATAACTTGTTTAAAATCAGTATACAAATAAGGTCCATATATTACATTTGATTTTTGTGTCTCTTAAGTCTTTTTTTTTTTTTTTTTTTGTTAACAGCTTTATTGAGATGTAATTCACATTCTACACCATTTACCCGTTGAAAAATGTGGAATGTGATGGCTTTATGTATTCATAGAGTTATGTAGTGTCTTGAATCTGTTTTAATCCAGAATAGTGTATTTCTCCACTGTCCCCTGATTGCTTCACATGATTAAATTATTAAAAGCCTGTATGCCAGTGCATTTTCTGTTGCTATAACTGCATTGCACAGAGGGGTTATAATTGATAGCGAGCGGAGATTTATTTCACTCACACGTCCAATAGCAAGGTGCTGGCATCTGGTGAAGGCCTTCCTGTTAGGCCATGAAAAGGTGGAGGACACCTCAGAGCCAGAGCAGGCGCGCAGGCTTGGGTCTCTCTTCCTCCTCTTAGACAGCCGTTCATGCCATCCTGGGGCCACATCCTTGTGACCTCATCTACTCTTTATTTTTTTTTAGATTTATTTATCTTGAAAGAATTACAGAGAGAGGGAGAGACAGAGAAGTGTTCCATCTGCTGGTTCACTCCCCAGATGGCTGCAGTAGCTGGAGCTGGGCTGATCCGAAGCCAGGAGCCTGGAGCTTCTTTCAGGTCTCCCACGTGGGATAAAGGGGCCCAAGCCCTTGGGCCATCTTCTGCTTTCCCAGGCACATTAGCAGGGAGCTGGATCAGAAGTGGAGCAGCCGGGACAGGAACTGGTACCCGTATGGGATGCCACAATGCTGGACCCTTTTTGGGGGTTTATTTTATTTATTTATTTTTTTACCTCATCTATTCTTAATTGCTTCCCAAAGGTTTAATTACTGTTGATATATGAATTACATCTCCAAATACCATTAACATATGAATTTAGGGATTAAGTTTCCAACTTTTGGGAGACAAGCTCAAACCATAGCAGGCTGGATCAATTGTTTTATTCAGTCCTCCTTTCTGGATTTGTCTTCTTACTTGCACATTGCTTTAAAAAAATTCTTTTAAAAAAATTTATATGGGGTCTGTGCTGTGGCATAGCAGGTAAAGCCACTGCCTGCAGTGCTAGCACCCCATATGGGTGCTGGTTCAAGTCCCAGCTGCTCTACCTTCAATCTAGTTCTCTGCTGTGGCCTGGGAAAGCAGTAGAAAATGGCCCAAGTCCTTGGGCTCCTGCACCTGCATGGGAGATCTGGAAGAAGCTCCTGGCTCCTGGTTTCAACTCGCATAGCTCCAGCCATTGCGGCCATCGGGGGAGTGAACCAGCAGATGGAAGACTTGTCTCTCTCTGCCTCTCTGTCACTTTGCCTTTCAAATAAATAAATAAAAAGAAAGTGGATTTAAAAAAAATTTATGTATTTGGAAGGCGGAGTGACAGAAGGAGGTGAGGAGGGAGACACACACACACACACACACACAGGTCTTAAATTCTCTGATTCACTCCCCATATGACTGCATCAGCCAGGTCTGGGACAGGCTGAAGCCAGGATCCAGGAGCTCCATCTTGGTCTCCCAACTAGTTAGCAGGAGCCCAAGTACTTGGGCCATGTTCTGCGGCCTTCCCAGGTACATTAATAGGGACCTGGATCAGAGGTGGAGCAGCCAGGACTGGAGCTATCACTCTTGGCTGTTGAGAGCATTTGAGGAATGAACCAGCAGATGGGAAATCTTTGTCTCTCTCTCTCTCTCTCTCTCTCTACCTTTCAGATAAATAAATGGCTACTCTGTGATGTGAGCGATTAGTAAGTCTTACCGTTGGGACTCCTCGCAGCTGACGTGCTGTGGCTGTTGGCTGGTCTGGGCTCCATTTCCAGCCCTGAAGGCATCACTTTAAGGCTCTTTCCCAGCTCACACATCTCCGTTCTTCCGGCTGCCATTTCAATTCTTTGTTTTCTTGTTGTTTTATCAAAACTTTGGATTTTACCACAGGGAGGTACTATTACTTAGTTTTTTATTTTGAAAAATTTGATGCTTGCAGGAAAGTAGAAAATTAATCCAATGAATCCCCACATGCCCTTTCTAAACTCCACAATTAACATTGTACTACAGTTGGTTTATTCTGTCACTCTTTCTAACAGGGTCATTCTCCACCATAACTTCAATGTCTACTATATCCAAGAAATTAACAGTGATCCAATTCTGTTACCTAATGTATGATTCATATTCAAATTTCAGAATTGTCTCTTAAAATGTCCTTTTTAACTTTTTCCCCTGTTAGGATCTGACCAAAGATCATGTATTTGCATCTGGCTATGATGTTTTTTAAGGTATTGTTACTTACTTGAAAGTCAGAGTTACAGAAAGTAAAGGAGAGACAGAGGGAGAGATCTTCCATCTGCTGGTTCATTCCCCAGATGGCTACAGTGGCCGGGGCTGGGCCAGGCTGAAGCCAGGAGCCAGGAGCCAGGAGCCAGGAGCTTCTTCCAGGTCTCTCACATGGGAGCATTCTCTGCTGCTTTTCCCAGGCCATTAGCAGGGAGCTGGATCAGAAGTGGAATAGCTGGGACATAAACCGGTGCCCATATGGGATGCTGGTGTTGCCTGTGGAGGCTTTACCTACCGTGCCACAACGCTGACCCCTACCATGTTTCTTTTTAGAATAGTTACCCTACCAGTTTCTCTCTTTTTAAAGAGATTTATTTATTTGAAAGGCTGAGTTAAAATCACAGAGAGAGAGAGAGAGAGAGAGAGCAGCAAAGAGAGAGCGCTTCCATCTGTCTTGTTGACTCCCCAGGTGACCACAGTGGCTTGGGGTTGGGCTAGGCAAAAACCCGGAACTTGTTCTAGATTTCCCATGTGGGTACAGGGGCCCAAGCACTTGGACCATCCTCAGCTGCTTTCCCAGGCACATCAGCTGGGAGCTGGATCAGGAGTGGAGCAGCCAGGTCTGCAACCGGTGCCTGTATAGGATGCCGGCCTCTCAAGTGGTGGCTTAATCTGCTACATCACAATGCCAGCCCAACACTTTATTTTAAGATGTAATTTTGGAGAATCCAAGCCAGCTGTCTTGTAGAATGGTTTACAACCAATAATGGGACTTTTTCCTCATGGTTAGAATCAGGTTCAATATTCTGGAAGCAGCAGGATCCCTTACATGGTGTGAACTTGTGCATGTATGGCTAAGTCTGTATCTGGAAGACTCCCCTGGTTGTTTCCAGTGTCCATGTGTTAGGTGGCTAGTAAGCATTACCCAAAATGAAAAGCAGACGATCTTCAAAGTGGTGGGGTATTGTCCATGTTCAATTTTTTTTATTAGAGAATGACACATCTTCAACTCTATTTTTGTTCTCTTTAGGCCAGCATTTGTAAATCCACTCATCACTGAAAGCCCAGAGGAAGAAGAACTCTTTAGACAAGGAGAAGGTATATTAATTTCTTCCTAATAAAATTAGTTTTTAAAAGTTATGCTTAAGTATTCATTTCATTTATTTGAAAGGCAGAGTTAGGAAGAGATTGGTTTTCCATCTGGTTCACTCCCCAAATGACTGCAATGGCCACGACTGTGCCAGGCTAAAGCCAGGATCCTGGAACTCCATTCGTGTCTCCTACATGGGTGGCAGGGGCTCAGGTATTTGAACCATCCTCTGCTGCCTTCCCAGGCGCATTAGCAGGGAGCTGGATCAGAAGTGGATTATCTGGGACTCTAACTACTGTTCATATAGGGTGCTGGCATCACAGGCTGTGATTTAATCCCTGGTGCCACAGTTCTGGCCCCAATAAAATACTTCTTAAAATACTGAAAAAGAAATTACTTAACATTATATATGGGTACCTGTGTGTGGCACAGTGGGCTAAGCCACCGCCTGGGCTGCTGGCATCCCATATGCACACCAGTTAGTGTCCTTCATGCTGTAGTTCCAATCCAGCTTCCTGCTAATGCATCTGGGAAAGCAGCGGGAGACAACCCAAGTACTTGGGCCCCTACCACCCACGTGGGAGACCTTGACAGGGTTCCAGGCTCTTAGGTTTGTCATGGCTGAGCCCAAGCCATTGTGGCCATTTGAGGAGTGAACCAGTGATGGAAAATCTCTCTGTAACTCTGCCTTTCAAGTAATAAAGGATAAGTACCTGGCTCCTGCCATCGGATCAGCGCGGTGCGCTGGCCACAGCATGCCGGCCGTGGCGGCCATTGGAGGGTGAACCAACGGCAAAAGGAAGACCTTTCTCTCTGTCTCTCTCTCTCACTGTCCACTCTGCCTATCAAAAAAAATCCTTAAAAAAAAGATTACATATGAATGCTATACCATTCAGATGTTTTACTCATGCCAAGAATTTATTGAAATTAAAATACCTTCCCTTTTGTCTTTTGGCGTCCATACTTTGAATGATGTTATTGATCAGACTGTTTATTCAGGTAATTTGTTTGCTCATTTTTAATCAAATGGAAAACGTGTCTGGTGGGTGACTGCAAGTCAAGGCTCTGGCTCCCAAGTGGTGTCACACTGAGCTAACGTTTCCATCTGAGAGCGAGGACTCGGGGGAAGCTTCATATGGCCTCAGCAGCCTTCTCTTAGATGTATGTGTGATTTCCTGTAGGATTTTGTAAGGTCTACAGGTATCGCAGGGCAGCACTAGTGTGTCCCTTCCTGAGCCTCGCTCTTTGTTCTCCTGTGTTGCAGTGAACAAGGGGAGACGGATTGCCTTTAGCTCCACATCATTACTGAAAATGGCTCCCAGCGCTGAAGAGAGGACTACCATACATGAGATGTTTCTTAACACGCTGGATCCAAAGTAAGTTGGGCTGGTGAGATTACAGATTGGCAAAAGACGCAGTCCTTGGTTTTCTGTAGAGCCACACTCGCCTCAGTGTATTGGGAGTTGTCTACGAGTGTTTGCTTGTTCCGCATGTGTGAAAGCCTGGCACTAACGGGGTTTCATTAATCTCCATTTATGTAGGACAATAAGTTTTCAGAGTCGTGTTTTGCCCCCTAATGCAGTGTGGATGGAGAATTCAAAACTGAAAAGCTTGGAAATTTGCCACCCTCAGGTATTATAATTTCATGTGAAATCTGAATAGGATAATTTGCAGTTGTGACACGTGTGTACGATGTGATGCGTCTTAAAGCTGACCTCTGTCCCGTTACCATTCATTCCTTTGTTCTGAATGTGAGGGCCACCGTAAGTTTGTATAAGGTCTTCAAAAGGTTCATAGGAAATGGAATCAAAAGATCAGTTTATTTTGGTGCTGAAACTTGAAATCTGTGCATGCTTTTTTCAAAATATGTATTTTCCGTGACCTTTTTGAAGAACATTTGTATTTATTAATGTTTACTTTATGTCCTATATAGCAGCGGAACATTTTCAATCGAATCTTTGGTGGTTTCCTTATGAGAAAAGCATATGAACTTGCGTGGGCTACCGCCTGCAGTTTTGGGTGAGTTACACTTGGAGTTAACTTTCAAGAAGCAATTTATACACCCCCACCCCTGAAGTCAAACATTTTGGACCTGTCTGGATGCGTTTGGGAATATGTTACAGTTTTAGGTGAATACTACACTGATACTACCTGGGTTTGATCTTGGTTTTAGAAGGCCATTGCTCTGACTTTGTAAATTAGTTCTTTAAAGAGCTAGAGAGAAAGATACGGTGATAATACAAAGAAGAGAGGAGAGAGAAGATAGAATGATTCTGCCCCGATCCGGTCACGGTGGTATTTTCTTACCATTCCTTTCTGGAATGATCATTTTCTCTTGTCGAAGTTGCTTCTTGGTTCATTTTTTGTTTTACTTCAGCTGGTTGTTGGAGAAAAAAATGTGAGATCATGTGAATTTTTCCGTTTACCTCAAATTCTGCCTTTGCCTGACAGTGGTTCCAGACCATTTGTGGTGGCAGTGGATGATATCATGTTTCAGAAACCGGTTGAAATTGGCTCACTGCTGTTTCTTTCTTCACAGGTAGGTGTGCAACGAGAGATAAAATACCATTTTTTGGTCACTGGGGCCTAGAACAGAAACAGAAACTTCTATATTGTGAAGCCTCTGTCTCCCTCCCTCCCTCCCTCCCTCCCTCCCTCTCTCTCTCTTTCTTTCTCTCTTTCTCTCTTTCTTTCTTTCACAGGCAGAGTGGACAGTGAGAGAGAGAGACAGAGAGAAAGGTCTTCCTTTGCCGTTGGTTCACCCTCCAATGGCCGCCGTGGCCGGCGCACCGCGCTGATCCAATGGCAGGAGCCAGGTGCTTATCCTGGTCTCCCATGGGGTGCAGGGCCCAAGCACTTGGGCCATCCTCCACTGCACTCCCTGGCCACAGCAGAGGGCTGGCCTGGAAGAGGGGCAACCGGGACAGAATCCGGCGCCCGGACCGGGACTAGAACCCGGTGTGCCAGCACCGCAAGGTGGAGGATTAGCCTAGTGAGCCGCGGCGCCGGCCTGAAGCCACTGTTTTTCTTATGACTGCCTCCCCCCCGCTTTAACGCAGCTGACTAACCGCAGTGTCTGCAATCTCTTAGGTGTGCTTTACTCAGAACAACTACATCCAAGTGAGAGTGCACAGTGAAGTGTCCTCTCTCCAGAATAAAGAGCACGTGACCACCAATGTCTTTCATTTCACATTCATGTCGGAAAAAGAAGTGCCCTTGGTTTTCCCCAAAACATACGGAGGTAAGCAACAATTATGGCTTGTCCCCGATGCGGGGAAGAACCTCTAAAGGAATTCTTCCCATTTTAGGTTGTTGCAGGAAGTGCGTCAGTGTCTTTCCGCACAGAGCATCTTTAGGTTTTACCTTTGAGCTTCTGTAGCCCTGCAGGCCAAATCCCCTTGCGCCTCTCAGGCAGCTGTTGGTGCTCTGGCATCTGGCTGCTGACTGCAAGGGCTGGTGCCGGCACAAGCAGCCACTGGGAGCCAAAGACTGGTCCAGGCAATGAACACGGACCGGCGTCGCGGCCTGCTCCCTTGGGAGTGTTGCTTCTCCCCTGGACAACAGCACATCCCTGTCACTGGTTTTGTGTTGTCATTGCTGCCCCAGTGTGTCCAAATAGTCACATGTGTGTAGGATGTTCTGAGTTTCTGTAAGTTTCTCCAGGGTTATCTTTCTTGTGTTTCAGAGTCCATGTTGTACTTAGACGGGCAGCGTCATTTCAGTTCCATGAGTGTGCCGGTGACCTTGAAGAAAGACCAGGTTGTGGAGCCATAGGAAAACCTCATTGAGAACCAGCACTCCACCTGCGGTGACGTCATGGCGGATGAAGGCCTGATCAAGTGTATTGGTTTTAGTGTTGCTTCTTATCCTCCATAGAGGAGGAGAATGTATTTAGGGTTCAGGATAATCAGAAAAGCAGAATGAAAGAGTAGATGGGACTGAGAGGACAGAGTTTTTAAACAATAAATACTTGGAAAAATTTTTTTAATTGTGAGCTTTCCATGCTGCCTCTTGTCTGCTAAAGGAATTAGGGCAAAATGCTTTTTTTTTTTTACACAGATGTTGCATTTTTATACACATACTAAACTATCCTTATATAAGGTTTCCTACTAGGGTATTTGAGTAACTTTTTTTTGAGATTTATTTATTTATTTGAGAGGCAGAGTAATGGAAATAAAGAGGAAAGGATTGAGGGAGGGAGGCGGGGGGAGAGAGAGAGAGAAAGAGAGAGAGAGAGAGAGAGAAAGAGAGAGAGAGAAAGAGAGAATTGATCTTCTTTCTGTTGGTTTACTCCAAATGGCCACAACAGCCAAGGCTAGGCTAAGCTAAGCTAAAGCCAGAAGCCCAGAACTAAATCCACATTTCTTATATGGGTAGTAGGTGCCATTTTCCATTGCTTTCCCAGGCATATTAGCAGAGGGCTGAATCAGAAGTGGAGCAGCCAGGACTTGAACTGGTGCTCATATGGGATGCTGCTATTGCAGGTAGTGGCTTAACCTGTTGTGCCACAAAGCTGGCCCCTAAGGAGCAGGGGTTTGGTGCAGTGGTTATGATGCCACCTGAGGGGCCTGTGCTGTGGCATAGTGGGTAGAGCTGCCGTCTCCAGTGTCGACATCCCATATGGACATTGGTTCGAATCCCGGCTGTTCCACCTTCAATCCAGCTCTCTGCTATGGCCTGGGAAAGCAGTAGAAGATGGCCCAAGTCCTTGGGCCCCTGCACCTGCATGGGAGACCCAGAAGAAGCTCCTGGCTTTGGATTGGCACAGCTCCAGCCGTTGTGGCCAATTCGGGAGTGAACCAGAGGTTGGAGGACCTTTCTCTCTTTCTGCCTCTCCTCTGTGTAACTCTGACTTTCAAATAAATAAATCTTAGAAAAAAAACATGGCACCTGAGATGCTTGCATCCCATACCAGAGTGCCTTGGTTCAAGTCGTGGCTCAGATTTTGGTTCTGGCCTCCTGCTAATGTACACCCCGGGAGGCAGAAGATGATGGCTGAAGTGCTTGGGCCACGTGGGAGACCTGGGTTGAGTCCCTGCCTTCGGCCTGGTCCAGCCCTGGCTATTGCTGGCAATTGGGAAGTGAACCAGCATATGCAATCAGTCAGTCTCTGTCTCTGTCTCTTTGCCTTTGAAATAAAATAAAAGGTGGCTAATGGGTTTTGTTACTTGGAGAGTTTGTTAATGTGTTAAGTGGAATACAGTATGTAGAGACCTATTGCATGCTGCTGTATACATTATATATTAAACCATTTGTTGCTACACAGTGAGCCTTTTTCTAGATTTTTTTTCTTTTATTATCATAAACTGTTGGAGTAGATATCCTAAATACCTGAAACATTTGAACCCCCCTCTCACCCCCTCCCCCACACATTATTTCCTTAGGAAAAATGTGAGGTGAGCTATCTAGATCAGAATGTATTAGTCAGCTTTTGTTACCACGAGGAAATACTTAAGGCAGTTGATTAACAGTTTCTGGAGGCTCCAGTTCAAGATTGGGTGGCCTCACTAATTTGGCTCTGTTAAGGGCAGAGGATGACAATGATGGAGTGCATGCAGAGGAAGGATCACATGGCAGGCCAGGAAGCAGCATGGGTGGACTGAAACTCAGGCTTTTGTAACAATCCTCTCTTGAGAATTTAGGAGGTCACATAAGAACTACCTTCTGACATAAACATGTTCCCAGTGACCTAAGGGCCTCCCACTAGGTCTCGGCTCCTCTAATGGTTTCACCAGCTTCCAATAGCACTACCCGAGGAACCAAGCATTTTAACACATGGGCCTCTGGGGGAAACATTCAACGTTGAAATTAATATCTAAACCCTAGCAAGTAGTATACACATGGAAAACTTTGAATATATTTCACAAAACCCTCCAGAACTGTTGTACGTGTTTATTTAATATTATTTCCCTGAACTTTGTTAAATGTTTTCTTTTAAAAACATCTTGGCCATTTGATAGATGTAAAGTGACATATGTTAATGCCTTTCTTGGAAATCTGAGATTGAACTTAAAGTGCTTATTGTCTTTGTTAAATTGTTAAAGTAATTTTGGATATATGAATCTGTTAAAAATTTATTAGAGCATTCTTATCTGCCAGTTCACACCCCAGATGCCTGCAGTAGCCATGGCTGGGCCCAGTCCAAGTCAGGAACTGAATCCAGGCTTTCCACTTGGGGGCAGGAACCCAACCGCTTGAGCCATCAACTACTGTCTCCCAGGATACATGTTTAGTAGGAAGCCAGAACTGAGAGCAGAGCAGAACTGGAACGCAGGCACTCCAGTATGGGATGTAGGTGTCCTAACTGGCGTCTTCAATGCTACACCAAACATGTGCCCCTGGATATCAGAATTCTAACCCAGAAGTTGTTTATGAATCCAGATATTGTAGAAATTTTTATTTTTAAAACCTTTTGTAGGAACAGATTTCATGTATTTTATAGTTATAATTCTAAGAAGATAACCATATTTTCCTTCCTCCCTATTTCTCCATCTAGTCTATAATCACAGGTTTAATGCACCACTCACCATAATATTCAGCCAGTAAACAGTACAAAGACCATGATTCCACAGGAGTATAAACAGGTGCTAAAAATGACAATCATATCACAAGATGTCCGATTCATTCCCATACACTTTTTGTATTCTGTATTAACTGTCACATATCAGATAAAACAATTCTTATTTTGGGACTGGCTTATTTTACTAAGGATAATGATTTCCAGTTGCATCCATTTTGTGGAAAACGGTTAAGATGAAAAACTGTAAAGGATCCATAGGTTCTGGATTATTAGTATTTTGTCCCTCTTTCTTAACGAATCAAATATATGAGGCCTTTTTATTTAATTTTCTTTAAAAATTTTGAGAGGGAGGGAGGGACAGAGATCTCCCATCTGCTGGTTCACTCCCCAAATGCCTGCAGGTAGCTGAAGCCAGGAGCCCAGTGAGTGTCAGGAATTCAAGTATTTTGTGCTTCCAAGAATGAGCATCAGCAGGAAGCTAGAATGGAGAGCAGAGCTAGGACTCCAGCCCAGGCACTGTAATGTGGAATGCAGGTGTCCAGTGACCTAGCTGCTGTGCCAACGTCTGCCCCAAACTTTTTAAATGATTTTCAGATTCTCAACACCTGCACAGCTTTAATGCTTTGGGAAATAAACATTCTTACATGCCACAAAATAAAAGGAAAAAAGCAGCAGTACATTACATTTCATTGATCAACACAGAACATTTTTTAGTTTCTAACAAATAATATGTGAAGCCCAAATATATCACACCATGGACTGCTTCCTTCTTCCTTTTTTGGTCATGGACTATTCTGGGAAGATTTAATTAGAGAACTTTGAGTAGTTCTAATGGTCTATTTTTTTTTTTTTTTTTGAGAGGCGGAGTGGACAGAGACAGAGAGAAAGGTCTTCCTTTGCCGTTGGTTCACCCTCCAATGGCCGCCACAGCGGGTGTGCTGCAGCCGGCGCACCGCGCTGATCCGATGGCAGGAGCCAGGTACTTTTTTTTTTTTTTGACAGGCAGAGTGGACAGTGAGAGAGAGAGAGAGAGAGAGAAAGGTCTTCCTTTTGCTGTTGGTTCATCCTCCAGTGGCTGCCGCGACTGGCGCACTGCGCTGATCCGATGGCAGGAGCCAGGTGCTTCTCCTGGTCTCCCATGGGGTGCAGGGGCCCAAGCACTTGGGCCATCCTCCACTGCCTTCCCTGGCCACAGCAGAGAGCTGGCCTGGAAGAGGGGCAACCGGGACAGAATCCAGCGCCCCGACCAGGACTAGAACTCAGTGTGCCGGCGCCGCAAGGCGGAGGATTAGCCTAGTGAGCCGCGGCGCCGGCCAAGGAGACAGGTACTTATCCTGGTCTCCCATGGGGTGCAGGGCCCAAGGACTTGGGCCATCCTCCACTGCACTCCCTGGCCACAGCAGAGAGCTGGCCTAGAAAACGAAAAGTAAATTACTCTTAGAAAAATATTGCTTTGATGAGAAGATAGATTTAGGTCTGTTTTAGACAAATTTAGCTAGTTTGTGACTAATCACAATTATTTCTTAGAGGGCACTGTTTTTGAGAAAAACTAATTTTTAATGTTGTTATTTAAAAAGCAGAGCAAGAGAGTTTCCATCCGCTGGTTCACTTGCCAACTGCCTGCGACAGCTGCGACTGGGCCGAACCAAAGCCAGGAACCAGGAACTCCACCCGGATCTCCTACATGGGTGGCAGGGATCAAAGCATTCAGTCTGCTGCCTTCTAGGGTGCATGAAAACAGGAAGCTGGATCAGAAGCAGAGGTGGGCCTCGAACACATGCACTCTGGTATGGGATGCAGGCATCTCAAGCAGTGGCTCGTCCTGCTGCACCACAATGCCCACCTCTCTAAATTTTAAGCTAGCACCAGACTCAGACCCTTAATCACCCAATCAATACTGACATAGATGCCATCAAGTGTCCAAAGTTTTAATAGAATTTCCATTACAAAATTTGGATAAGAAAACCTTAATGACATAAAAATCTTTACAAACTTAAACTAGAATTAGCTCTAGGACATTTTATTATTTTAAATTTTAAAAAATGACGTCAGCAGAAATGTTCTTGAAAACTGGCTGTTCCACTTCCGATCCAGCTCTGTGCTGTGGCCTGGGAAAGCAGTAGAAGATGGCCCAAGTCCTCAGGCCCCTGCACCCTCATGGGATACCTAGAAGAAGCTCCTGGCTCCTGGCTCCGGATCAGTGCAGCTCCAGCTGTTGTGGCCATCTGGGGAGTGAACCAGTGGATGGAAGACCGCTCTCTTGCTCTTGCTCTTGCTCTGTCCCGCTCTGCCTCTCTGTAACTCTGCCTTTCAAATCAATCAATCTTTTAAAAAAGAAAAAAATAAAAGGCAGAGATATTGAAAGATCCAATCTGCTGGTTCACTTTCCAAATGAATTGTTAAGAAGCTGGGAGCCAGGAAGTCAATGCAGATCTCTGTAGGCATGATGGGGACCTAACAGCTTGAGCCATCAGCTGCTGTCCCCCAGCCGCCTACATTCCACAGGAAGCTGAATAGGGAACTGGGAGTGGAACCCAGGCATCTTAGCCACTAAGCCAAATGCCTGTCCCTAAAATGTTTTCTCTCTATCTGGCAAAGAAAGAATGAGGGGCCGGCGCCGCGGCTCACTAGGCTAATCCTCCGCCTAGCGGCGCCGGCACACCGGGTTCTAGTCCCGGTCGGGGAGCCGGATTCTGTCCCGGTTGCCCCTCTTCCAGGCCAGCCCTCTGCTGTGGCCAGGGAGTGCAGTGGAGGATGGCCCAGGTGCTTGGGCCCTGCACCCCATGGGAGACCAGGATAAGCACCTGGCTCCTGGCTCCTGCCATCGGATCAGCGCGGTGCGCCGGCCGCAGCGCGCCGGCCGCGGCGGCCATTGGAGGGTGAACCAACGGCAAAGGAAGACCTTTCTCTCTGTCTCTCTCTCTCACTGTCCACTCTGCCTGTCAAAAAAAAAAAAAATAAAATAAAATAAAATAAAAAAAAAAAAAAAAAGAAAGAATGAGGGAGAATACCCCGCCAAAGCATACCTGCTACTCCATTCCAGAGGTAGTTTTGGATCATCCATTCAATTTCCCGTGCCCCCAAACTCAATTTATCCTGCCCAGCCTCATCCCAAGTCTTAACTCCTTTTGCATAAAAAAATCTAATTTCCTTTCAGTTAATTTCCAGTTTTCTAGAAAGCAGGTTTGTTAATTTTATTGTTCTTAATTCATTTTAAATAAAAGGAAATTCTATATTAAAAAATTCAGTTAAATTCAAGATGAAGATTAGATTACTTCAGTGTTGTGGAGGATACTTTTCCGCTTCTCTAAATATGTAGGAAAGCATGGAGAAAACCTACACTTTAGAGTCTGCATAGGTTCCATAACTAATTGGTGTAATACATCCTTGATTTGATTATTATTCATGAAAAGAAAAAACCCCACAAAGGCTGTAAAACATGTATTTTTGGGAAAGAGAATGATACTTGAAGGTTTCTTGCAGTTGGCCAAAACACTTTAGAATTTTTTTTTTATGAATCTGAATAAAAAGCAACTCAGGACTGGGGAATAGCAGACCAAAAGAGGTATGGTAGACTCAAGGCATTTTTATCCCTCAGCGGACCGCCACAGTGCATCACAGTTACTAACAGTGGGAAGGATAGGAACCCCTATACATCTGTATACTCTTCCGTGTAATCAGTCTTTTAAAGGCAGTGAATCCAGCTACTGAGCAGAAATTAATGACATTTATCCATTCTATTCTAGAAAAGAGCTTCACAGTCTAGCTTTACAAGATAACGGAACACTCCCTTTACCCACACCACCTTTTCTGTGTCTCTGAAACACTTAAAGACTACTTTTCTACGAATTACCAGCTTCCGGAATGAACACTAAGAGGCACATTATGGCTGTTTCTGTTATCTTTAATGACAATTAGATCCGTAGGGTTTCCCCCATTAGCAATAGCATGCTTCAACAGGATCTTCAAATCACGTTGCTAATTGTCATCGGTTGAACCTTTCTGAGATTCAAAGGCTTTGACTTTTGAAGTCCCAGCCTTTGGATTCTCCCTCTGTGCATTTGCAAGAGAGGAGGCAGCACACAACTGGTATTCATCCAGGGATCCTTTCTGGCGGTTTGGCTTCATTGCTCTTCTGTTCTCCTCTTCCTGAAGTTTTGATGCCAACAGCCAGTCTTGTTCTTCCTGCTTGTGTCTTTGGGCAAGTAGACACTCCGTGGTGATCAGTCCCTCGAGATATTCTGCTTCGTCTTGAGCTGAGGAGGAACTTGATGACAATTGCCTTCTTTTTGCAGAGAAGCACGAATCCTTGACATCTTTAAATGGAGGTTCTTGATTTTTTCTTTTGGCAACGGCTTTCCGGGCGGTGCATGAAGACTCTTTATTTTCTTTCTTAACTGTATTGTTTCCGGTTATGTGTGTGATCCGTGACACAGAGGCAGCAGGTTCTCCCAAGGAGGGAACTTTGGTTTGAAGTCCGTCTCTGCCAGGGTTGTTCGGTCTCATTGTGATTCTTCCCTCAACGCAAATTCTTGTGTGATAAGGGTGGTTCCACAGCAGAGATGGGCCTGCGGAAGAAGTTGCAGCCTGTTCCGCAATTTCATCGGTGATTCGCGGAGGACGTGTTGGCATATCTTTTTCAAAATCCGTGTCTTGCCACGCAGGGTTGTTCTCATTACTCCTGTCACTTTTCTTCCATGTAGGGTTCTTGATTTCTTGTACACTTGCAGCTTGGGATGTTGACCCAGATTGAGAGGTTGGTGACAAACAGGCCTGAGTATCTCCGATGTTTCTCTTTTTGCCTTTGCATTTCCTTGGCGAAGTGGTTGGAACTGGTTCAGGTTCTGCTGATTGTGGGGGAGAGGTCGTGCTGCTCGTCCCACAGGTACTGGTGGTATTCCCGTTTGGCTTTGTTCTTGGCGCCTCCCTTTTCGGTCTTTGTTTCGGCTGGTTCTGTTTTCTTCCTGCTTGCCGTCTTTGTTTTTCTTCCTCCGCCAACTGTCTCTGGACGTAGTCTTCATTGGCTTTGTTCTCTTCTTCCTGGGTGAATTGGCATTGTGCCTCCATCTTAGATTTTTCTTCTTCATATTCTCTTCTTAGTTCTCCTGGTTCACTTAGATGCACTGGATGACGATCATTAATTATTTCCGCTAATTCTTGCCCAGATTCCCTAAGCCTACACTCCATTGGATAGCGTTTCTGAATCAGTTGCCATAATTCAAGATTCACAAGGGAGTTTTTTGCAGCGTGGCGTCGAGCCCATGAAGACATTCGGCGGCGACAGAACGGACAGCAGAGGTTTGCCTTTTCGATGGTTAACTGAAAGCAAGGCTTACAAAGAGTATGATGACAAGGCAGAGTTACAGGCTCAATCAGGATTTCTAAACAGATCTGACATTGGCAATCTGACAGAGATGGTACGCAGTCTTTCGGAACAGACATTATAACACACCAACTTCAGCCTCCTTACCAGGTTAGGGTGCTCACATAGCCCTCCGGATGTCGACTGCCTGGCTGCGGCTCTGGTAATACCGCTACTTCCGCCTGGGCCCCCAGATTTCCTGTTTATGGTTGCCGTGGGAATGATTGTGAGCTCATCAGGTCCCCCAGAGTGTAGGTGTCCAGCGCAGTTGCCTGAGATTGTTCCGCTGCCCTGCCCCTCCCCCACTGCTGTCACCAGTACCACCCCTGCTAAATGCCAGCCTGGAGCTTCCGAGAGAGAGTTGGAGATTGTTTTGTATTGAACAGTCTGTGCTGAGGACCCGGTTTTACTTCAGGGCATTTATTACCAAGTTCTTAGGCTTATTTTATTTTATTTTTCCCATAAGCTGTGATGCCCAATTTATTCAAAGCTTGGAACTATTTTTAACTTTACTAAAACTTAGAAAAATATTTTAAATTGACAGATGATGATTGAATATTTTTATTTTTGCTTAGGTATTCCTTCATTATGCAGTCTTTGAGGATAGTGTCTTTATCATTGCTTTCTTTAAAAGTGTTCACTCCTCTTTCACATGCTTTGGATTGTGTTGGGTGTTTTCACATGAGGTTGTATCGCTCCATGGTCACCAAATACTCTGTCTACGTATTCCCTTTTGTACCTGCTTTCTCTCTGGTATGATCTGCCTTCTCCCACCTCTTTGAATAGAGCCCAGAGCTTGATTCCTGAAGAACCAAAGCTTTCACCCCATTACTTTTATATTTTACTATTTTATTTTCCATGCTATGAGTCTGTACAATTTGTCTTTAGAAAGAGTACTTGATTCTGTGGGATGCTGGGCTCCTCTGGGAGGTTCTTTTGTGCCATGTGGAATTGGCTGGTACCTCAGTTGGGGTACTTAGGATGGGCTGGGGGGTTCTCTAGCAGGCTGATTTATATCTTTTTAAAAATGTGATGCTCGGGGTTAGCACTGTGGCATAGCAGGTAAAGCCACTGCCTGCAGTGCTGGCATCCCATATGGATGCAGGTTCGAGACCTGGCTGCTCCACTTCCAATCCAGCTCTCTGCTATGGCCTGGGAAAGCAGTAGAGGATGGCCCAAATGATTGGGCTCCTGCACCCAGGTGGGAGACCTGGGAGAAGCTCCTGGCTCCTGGCTTCGGATCAGCCTAGCTCCAGCCATTGCAGCCATTTGGGGAGTGGACCAGTGGATGGAAGACCTCTCTGCCTCTCTGTGACTCTGCCTTTCAAATAAATAAATATTTTTAAAAAGTGATGCTCCAACTTTTAAATATTTATTTATGTATTTCCAAGGCAGAGAGACGGAAACAGAGAGAGATCTCTGATCTGCTGGTTCGCTCCCCAAATGCCATCAGCAGCCAGGGCTGGGCCAGGCCAAAGATGGGAGCCAGGAACTCCATCTGGGTCTCCCATGTGGGTGGCAGGAACCCAAGTACTTGAGCCATCACCACTGCCTCTCAGGGTGCACATTAGCAGGAAGCTGGAATCAGAGCCAGGACCCAAACCCGGAACTCCAATATGGAATGGACCATCTGAAGCCGTATCTTAACTGCTGTGCCAAATGCCTGCTCCTGGTTGGATTTCTTAAATGGTGGCTCGAGGGCTCTGAGAGCTGTCATATAGATTCCCAGGTCTTAGCCATGCCATCTTCCTGCCTCTCAAAGCCATTTTCATAGAGGGAATTCACAGCGTTGGCGCTGAAGCTGTCGAGGATTAATAGTGGGAAAATGCCATCCGCTGGATATTGAGAAGTTACTGGTCAGAAAACATAGTTTCAAGAAAGTCATGGTGTCTTGGTTTAGATGGTGAGGGGCCAACTCATTTCAAGCACCCAGATGTCTTTCCTACGGTGAATTCTTACTGGTACCAGCAAGATGCTCATTTTAAAATGTTTTATTTTTTATTTTTAGAAAACATTCATTTGAAAGGCAGAATTACAAGGGGGGAGGAGGGGGAGGAGGAGGAGGAGGTCTTCCATTTGTAGTTCAACTCCCAAGTGGCTACAATGGCCAAGGGTGGGCCAGGCTGAATCCAGGAGCCTGGAACTCCATCCAGGTCTCCCATGTTGGTGGCAGGGGCCCAAGTAGTTGGGTCGTTAGCAGGGAGCTGAATTGGAAGTAGATCATCTGGGACTTAAACTGCTGCCCACATGCTCAACCCACTATGCCACAATGCTGCTCCCTAAAAGTTTTGTTGATGTGCAACATTGGAAAACACTGGAAGGCGGAAGCCTCCTTGGGTGTTTCATAATGCATGTTACCTTACTAAGGAGTGAAAATAGGGCCATACAAAACCCACTCAACTTTTAAAATCAGCTTTTGTGAAACCTTTTTGACCTCAAACCTATTTTTTAAACAACTATTAACAAAGAGCACTAAGAACTTTTATGACTTTTGCAAATCTGAGATCATACTTTGTTTTTATTTTGTAGCATGAAAAGACAGTCTAGTATATTGTCCAGCCAGTAAGTTTCCATGCTTCTTTTGCTATGAGGGGTCAGATATTAGTGTTAAGTGTCTTACAACCAAATTTAGGATGACACTTTAGATCTGACTGACCTTCCTAGCTTGTAAGGGTTGGCAGTCTTTCTTTTTAACAGGAGTGTAATTGCTTGCTGTCACTGTTGATATTTATAAAATGTTAACTCAGAGCAATGCATTTACTTTTATACAAATTCTGAATAACAACATTTTAGCACCATGCTCCTCTTTACAGATGAGAAGTAAAGGCTGAAAGGAGCTGCATGTACATCAGGAGGATGGTAAAGGTTAGTTTGCATTTTGGTTTATGGAATACAGGTTTGTGTTCTTGATTTGTGTTTCTGAGTAAGAGTTTTGCTAAAATTCAGTAATGCTTTGAGATTCTTTATTTGGTTAAAGACCACAAGCTAACTTAATGTTAGAGAAGTATGGTAGAAACTTGGCAAAAAAAAAAAAAATCTCTTATAAGATGTAATCATTGGGGCAGGTGTCATGGGTAAAAGCCACCACTTGTGACACCTGCATCACATATCGGAGTACCCATTGCAATCCCACCTGTTCTGCTTCTGATTCAGCTCCCTGCTGCTGCACTTGGGAAAACAGTGGAAGATGGCCCAATTGCGTAGGCCCCTGTCAGACCCATGGGAGACCCGGATGGAGTTCCAGATTGTTGTCTTTGGCCTGGCCCAACCCAGGCTGTTGTGCCATTTTGGGGAGTGAACCAGTAGATGAAAGATTCATTCATTCTCTCCCCCCTCCTTTCTCTCTTTCCCTCTCCCCCCTCCCTCCCTCCCTCCCTCCCTCCCTCCCTCCCTCCCTCCCTCCCTCCCTTCCTTTCAAAAAACAAACAAAACACTGCTCAACCAGGACCACAGAGCCCTGCTGAGCACTGAGGCGGATCCGGAGCCTCTGTGTGCAGGCACTGGTTGGTGAAAGGGACTGTTCACTTCTGGGTTTTATCAAATTTTGGCACTGAGCTCCAAAACAGTCCTGTGATGGAGTCTGTGCCGTCTGCCCAAGGTTGCAAAAGGAGTGACAGGCAGCCCCTTAGCTACTCAGGCCCTAGGTGTGTCACGAGGCACTCCTGGGGCTCAGTCACCCGGCCAAGTGCAATCGTGGTGGTGCACACCAGCTCCGCAAGAAGCCCAAGCAAGTGTTGTCCTTATTGTGGCAATCCAGAGACTCTTGCAGGCAGTGGCCCAGTGATGGTAGCTCTTAAGATCTGCCCAGTGTTAGGTTTTACCAGCCTGCGGTGGGAAGTGACCAGTTGGGATCAATATCACGGGTGGTGAAAGAATTCACCAGAGCAGTCAGGGAGCGCGAATAAAGGCAGAGTTACTGAATACTGGAGGGAGCAGTGGGCAGGCCAGCCGGAGGCTGCGTGTTGGGCAGGAGCTACAATTTGAGAGGCGTATCTAGGGCAGGCAGCTTCCTCAGAGCTCTGTTGAGTTTCCCTTTCTTGCAGTCCAACAAGTTTTTCCACCAGTCAGGAAATTTGCCTTTTTGGACGGAGCTGAGATTTCACTGCTGTTGGCTAGGGACTTTCCCCATCAGCCTAGTGCCCCAGGCGGGTCACACACAGCCCACCACTGATTTCCAAGTCACAATTTCTTGGCCCCTTGCTGTTTGCTCAAGGTTGGAGGAAGGTGGTAAAGGCAGCCCCTGGCTGCCCAGATTGGCCCCAGGATGGTCATACCTGGGTCCCACAGTCCCTAGGCCCCACAAAATCCTGGGGTTACCATCTAGGCCTACCTGAGGCTGGCAGTGGCACATAGCACCATGAGTCTGATGCATGGGGGCACTGGTGTCTGCTTGATGCCAGGCAAGTCTAGAAGCTCATTCTGGGAACACTGGGTGGTAGAGGTTTTTGGCCTTTACCAGGTGCTGGATTTCAGCACAGTAGGCCTGGCTTTGAGCTCCAGGCCATGGTTCTAAGCTCCCTCTCCCTCCTTCTCCATGTGGCTGGAGTTTTCCTTTCTCCTGATGGTTGAGGGAGCGGTGGCAGAGGCAACTTGGCTGCGGAGGTGCCAAATAATCACCCCATGGAACACGTAAGGGCCTGGCGCGGGGAGTAGTGGGCTTGGCCCTGGGATTCAGTTCACTCTCCCTCTCCCATATGGGAGCTGTCTCTCTACACTGCACTCCTTGGAGTTGGGGGAGGGATGACACAGCAGCTCCTTCCTTCTTGTTTTCTTCAGTGTAACTTTTCTTAGGATTATAACAAGACAAGCTATTGTGATCTCTCACCTGGCTTCTGCAGCTCTGGGGAAGGTGAGTCGGTGTGTGTAGCTGTTCACATTGATGTCTCTGCAGCTAACCAGTCACTGGTGC